TTTAAGATTTTATTTATTTATTTGACAGAGAGAGACACAGCGAGAGAGGGAACACAAGCAGGGGGGAGTGGGAGAGGGAGAAGCAGGCTTCCTGTGTGGGGCTCGATCCCAGGACCCTGGGATCATGACCTGAGCTGAAGGCAGATGCTTTAACGACTGAGCCACCCAGGCGCCCCTCCTCCTCCTTTTTTAATTAGGTAATCACTATGCTCAACGTGGGGCTTGAACTCATGACCCCTAGATCAAGAGTCACATGGCCTGCCAACTGAGCCTGCCCCTAGGTGGTTTTCAACCTGTGCCATTTTGAATAGTGCTGCAGTGAGGATTGTTGTATATTTGTCTTTTATACATGAGCAAGTGTTAGTTCTACAAAGAACTTAGAATTGCTAGGTCACAGTGAACAACCACTGAAGATTGTCATAGGCCCTGAGTGGGGAGCTTACGTGATGTGTGCTGTAGGAAAGCAAGGAGGCCAGTGTGGCTGGGGTTGAGTGAGTGAAGCGAAGAGAGTAATAGATGAGATGTTTGTTCATTAGGTGGGGTTGTGTGTGTGGAGCAGATTGCATAGGGCCTGGTAAATTCAGGTTTTCACTGAACATGGTGGTGGTGGTGATAGTGAATTGATAATTGGGCAAAGGATGTGCACATATGAAGAAATGCGGAAGGTAAGTAAATAGGTAAGTAAGTAAAATGATTAACCTCAGGAGTGTAAAAGAAACTCAAAACCACAATATAAAAGAATTACTTGTTTATAGCAGCAATGTCCACAATAGCCAAACTATGGAAAGAGCCAAGATGTCCATCAACAGATGAATGGATAAAGAAGATGTGGTGTATATATATACAATGGAATATTATGCAGTCATCAAAAAACCCCCGAAATCTTGCCATTTGCAATGACATGGATAGAACTAGAGGGTATTATACTAAGCGAAATAAGTCAATCAGAGAAAGACAAATATCATATGATCTCACTGATACGAGGAATTCTTAATCTCAGGAAACAAACTTAGGGTTGCTCGAGTGGTGGGGGGTGGGAGGGATGGGGTGGCTGGGTGATAGCCATTGGGGAGGGTATGTGCTATGGTGAGCGCTGTGAATTGTGTAAGACTGATGAATCACAGACCTGTACCTCTGAAACAAGATAGTAGGAAGGGAAAAATGAAGGGGGGGATATCGGAGGGGGAGACGAACCATGAGAGACTATGGAATCTGAGAAACAAACTGAGGGTTTTAGAGGGGAAGGGGGTGGGGGGATAGGCTAGCATGGTGATGGGTATTAAGGAGGGCATGTATTGCATGGAGCACTGGGTGTTATACACAAACAATGAATCGTGGAACACATCAAAAACTAATGATGTATGGTGACTAATATAATAAAATTAAAGTTAAAAAAAAAAAGAATTACTTTTCATTTACTAAATTACCAAAGCTAAAATAGGGCTGGTAGTCAATACTTCCTATTGTCAAGTGAGGTAGGTTGGACCTTTCCATTCTCATTTTTTTTTTTTTTAAAGATTTTATTTATTTATTTGACAGCGAAAGAGCACAAGCAGGGGGAGCAGAGGGAGAGGAAGAAGGAGGCCCCCTTCCGAGCAGGGAGCCTGATGCAGGACTCGATCCCAGGACCCTGGGATCATGACCTGAGCCAAAGGCAGATGCTTAACCATCTAAACCACCCAGGCGCCGTCCATTCTCATATTGATGAGATTTCAAGTTAGCATATTGCTTCTGGAAAGCAAGTTGGTTTTATGGATCAAGAGCCTTAAAGCCATCATTTAGACCCTTTGACTTGATAATTTTTAATGCTCTCTAGACACCTAGCAAATACATTGTGTGTTGGACTCTGAATGAGAGGGGAAATGCTTATGGTGTATTTCTTGTAAAATAGAATATAAGATGTTACATGGTATCAGTTAGGCAAAGAAAGTATATCAGAATGATAAGTGTTAGGATTGTGGGTGTTTATCAAGTTTATTTATTTATATTTTTACTTTTCATGCTTTTCAGTAGTTTATATTTGGCATTCATCAACTCATAAGGTTTGTTACTTTCTGTGATTTTGAAGGTTTACTCAGTTTTTCGAAGAAGCAACATAAATAGTTTTATATACAAAAAAAAAGAAGAAGAAGAAGAATAGGGCCATTGAGTGCAAATCTCATTAGAAATATTACCCAGGATGAAGGAGAGCCTAGCGAAAGATTCAGATCTGTTCCTCAGAGGATTCAGAACTGGATCCAGAACTAATTGGGTGGCGTGATGCATTTATCACAAGAATTTGCCCCTCTTCCTGAAAGTGTTTTTTCAAATTCTAAGGATGAACTCCAGTTTTGAATTTGTGTGCTGCCATGTGCCGTGCCTGGTGACCATGCTTCCCTTTGTAAGAAATGTGTTTTCGTTTCAGCGGTCTCATCGTTCCCGAGAGAGATGGCAACGAGACTGTCCCTGAGGTCGTTGCCACATCAGGTTATGCCCTGCTGCATTTTTTTAGTGATGCTGCTTATAATTTGACTGGATTTAATATCACTTACAAGTAAGATATTTAAGTCTAATCTTTGTGACTTTATTCCAAGACTGTATTTGTTTTAACAGTAAGAATGACTACCATATACTGAGGGCTGCCCGTGTGCCAGGCATTGCAATAAGCAGTATGCATGGGTTTTCTCATTTCAAGTTCTTTTAAAAACTCCGTGGGGTACGGGCACTGTGTTTTCACTTGTTCTATAATTGAGGAAACTGGTGGGAAGTGGTAAAATACATTGTCATAGTGCTGCGACCACAATTTCAACCCAGGTCTTAACTACTTTTGAGCTTCTCCCAGAAAAGGGGCATTTTTCTGCTAATGGATGAAGACATTGGGGTTTCTTGCTAAGTGCAGTTTAACAGATCCTAGTAGTTTTCATGTACTCAGTGGTTGGCCCATTGATGAGGACTTAGTTGAGGTTACAACGGAAATGTAGACAAACAGACCCAGACAGCTTTGGGAATTTGTCGTGACAGGAGAGAGGCTAACTTTTGTCTTTGCTTTTTTTCCTCTTAAGAAATGTTTGTTTTCATAAGTAGTTAAATCCATAAAGTGCCCTAAGCAAGAGGTCTCTGATAAAGAGCTTCTGTGGCCCACAGAGCCTAAGATATTATTTGGTTTTTTTACAGAATAAGTTTGCCAACTCCTGGCAGAAGCAGTAAGCTCCCTGTATAACCTTTATGCTGGATTCCTTTTCTGCCAGTTTTCTCAGGGTCTCCGGATTCTTTCAGGCCTGTCTAGAGCCATCTCTGTCTTGCTTGGTTTGCTGATTTAGCTTTTCAGGTGCCCTTGGTTTGTGACTTGGCAGCCTGGGCAGCATATCAGTACTAGCAAGGTGATTTTTAGTGAGCCAGGCAGGCATAAAGGCTGGTTGAGGGGAAAGACTGATGAGTTTGGTTGGGTACATGTGAGATGTCTAAGCAGGACATTGGTATTCAGATCCAGGGCCCAGAAGAGCTGTCAGGGCTAGGGATATCCTCTGGGAATCATTGGCACATGGACAGTGACTGGCTTATGGGGCGTGTGCACAGGGAGGATAGGGGCCATAGAGGCAGCTGAAGGGCAGAGGAATGCCAGGGGGCTGAGTTGTCACAGAAGCTTGGAAAAGAAAGTCTTAAGGAGGGAACTGACAGCTATGAGGTTGAGTAAGCAGAGCATGCCCTAGGTGACCCTAGCTGGGGAGGGTGGAGGCAGAGGCCTACAAGGGGCATAGTTCAGAATGGAAGGTTAGAAAGTCACAGCATCGAGAGTGGGACACTCTGGGAAGAAGTTCAGCTCTGAAGGGGAAGGGAGAGGTTTAGGCCGGTACTTTTCAAACTTCACATGCACAGGGATCTCCTGGAGGGGCTTGTTAAGACACGGATCTCTGGCCCTTCTCCAGAGACCATAGTTTGACAGAGCTGGGGCCTGAGAATCCAAATTTCTGATAAGCTCCTGGATGATGCTGCTGCCGCCTGTCCATGATCCATACTCTGAGGAGCATTGCCCTAGCCATTCATCTAGGCCCCATTCTGGGCTCCCTACAGATCCTTTTTTTTTTTTTTTAAGATTTTATTTATTCATTTGAGATAGAGACAGAGAGCACAAGCAGGGGGAGAGGCAGAAGGAGAGGGAGAAGCAGGCTCACCGCTGAGCTGAGAGCTGGACGCTCGATCCCAGGACCTGGAGATCATGACCTGAGCCGAAGACAGATGCTCAACCATCTGAGCCACCCAGGTGCCCCTCCCTATAGGTTCTTAGGCACAGTTTTCCCTCTTGCAAGGCCCCTCATTGTAGCAGCCTTGGGGGAGAAGAGAAACTCCAGGAAGGGAGCACCCTAGAGAGAGGGCAATTCAAGTACCCCTTGATACCGGAAGCCCTTTGCCCCAACCCTGGAAAGCTCTGCTAGCTCTGTGGCCATTATCTTCCCAAGAAATGCATGTTATTCTTTTTTTTTTTTTAATTTATTTTTAAAGATTTTATTTATTTATTTGACAGAGAGAGACACAGCGAGAGAGGGAACACAAGCAGGGGGAGTGGGAGAAGCAGGCTTCCCGCAGAGCAGGACCCTGGGATCATGACCTGAGCCGAAGGCAGACGCTTAATGACTGAGCCACCCAGGCACCCCGAAATTCATGTTATTCTTACCCTGATTGGTGTAGGGGAGGCCTTGATCTCTTCTGGAGACCAGAATTAGTATTTATTTGTTAAGTGGAGGAATGTTGAGGTTATCCTAAATTTTACTAGCTTCTTGGTTACAAGATCTCTGTTCTTTAAAAAGGAGCCCTAAACCATTTCGGGGCTTTTAGACCCTTTGAAAAGCCAAATAAAACAATGTTCTTTATTCCCAGAAGAATGTCCAGAAAGACATACATAAAACATTGTTATCATTTTCCAGGTGTCCTCAGGTTGCACTGAATCCTAGCTTTGGGCCGACCTCAGCTGGGGGACCCTTGAGAGTAGTACCCACAGCTACTTCAGTGTTGCCAAATTTTCTTTTCAAAGAAGAAAAAAATAGTTATATTTTATTTTCACACAAATTGGCTCTTCATCTTACTTCCCAGTCACATTTTAATATAAGACTAATTTTCTCATTACTCCAATTTAGACATACAAGCAGATGTTTTGATGTATTACCTGCCACTTTCATTTTTCAGAGATTCAAAAATGATTTTTGTGTTTTGAGATTTTATGTAACTTTAAAAAGTGCTCATAATTAATTTTTGGCACATGAAGTAAATGTATGCCTGAGGGCACTGGAGTGGAGAAGTTGAGGGGCAGGGGAAGTTGCAATATTTGCCCTCCTTTAGCTTAGAAGGTGCTAAGGGTTACTGCCTCCTCTTCCTTTTTCAGTAACATTAAGTTTTGTTTGTTTGCCATTCTCTCGTATACAGTTAATAAGTGTGTCAGTAGGAAATTATAATTTGACATATTTTTGATGTGAGGCATAAGGGTGAGCACATCATGGCAATGCTTTACTACAGTTTTATTCTAGGCCTTTTATAAAAACAAAGTGGGTTATTGTAGCCATTTTACCGTAACAAGTCCAATCTGCGATTTAAACTTTAGTTTTTATAAACTGTTGTCTTGCAAAGGCCTTTTTCTTAATAAAGATGAAATTGAAGCTTCTCTTCTGTGTTTGTATTATTATAGAGACAGTAGACACCACTTTTTAGAGGCCTATAAGAATGTCATTCAGGGGACGCCTGGGTGGCTCAGTCTTTAAGTGTCTGCCTTCGGCTCAGGTCATGATCTCAGGGTCCTGGGATCGAGCCCCGCATCGGGCTCCCTGCTCTGCGGGGAAGCCTGCTTCTCCCTCTCCCACTCCCCCTGCTTGTGTTCCCTCTCTCGCTATCTCTCTCTCTGTCAAATAAATAAATAAAATCTTTAAAAAAAAAAAAAAAGAATGTCATTCAGCTTTTTTAGCCAAATACTTTGTGTACTTATTCTGCTTACTGGGGCTTGAAAAGTAGGTATACACATTTCTTACATTCTAATTACATAGATTATAAAAATACTGTATATAAATATTTATAGTATCATAAACTGATATTTGGGTGTAGGTGTGAACATGAATTAGCTTGTTTTTAATAACTGATTCCTGATTTTTTGACATGCTTTGCTACAAAATTCTTTTTAGTTTTCTTCATAGGCCTTAGAAGAAACCATCTGCACTCTTAGAAGTATCCTGATAGTTCGGTTATTGCTCCCCCCTTTAAAAATCTGAATTATGTCTTCTCAGAGTGCTGTCACTATCTTAAGTCATGTTATTATGCGACACATTATAGTTAAACTATTGAGTTAAACTGGTCCTCCCTTTTCTTCCATCTGACATGAGTAGATAAACTTACTGAGGAATTTTAAATACACCAATCTGGGCAATAATCTTTAATTCTCTGAACTTTCAGAGACTGTCCAGAGGTATACACACCATGAGGATGGGTAATATATATTTTTTTTAAAGTTTTTTTTTTTTATTCATTCAAGATACAGAGAGAGAGAGAGAGAATATGATCAGGGGGAGAAGTAGAGGGAAGGGGAGAAGCAGGCCCCCCGCTGAACAGGGAGCCCGATGAGGGGCTCAATCCCAGGACCCTGGGATCATGACCTGAGCCGAAGGCAGACGCTTAACCAGCTGAGCCACCCAGGTGCCCCAGGATGGGTGATATATTGTTAGCACTTTGTATTATCCTCTTCCTCCAAACTTGCAAGCTTGCATTTGACAATTTTCTTTTTTCTTTTAATTTTTATTTATTTGAGAGAGAGAGAGAGAGAGCAAGTGAGCATGAGCAGGGGGAGGGGCAGAGGGAGAGGGAGAGGCAGACTCCCCACTGAACAGGGAGCCCGACATGGGGTGAAATCCCAGGACCCTGAGATCATAACCTGAGCCGAATGCAGATGCTTAACTGACTGAGCCACCCAGGTGCTCCTCAGCTGACAGTTTTCTAATGCTCATCACTGGTGGGGCCACCAAGAACAGCATAGTCATCCCACCCTTGAGAAGCTAAGCCTGGACATTTTGCAAGAATTTCTTCTCCCTTTAAGTTTTTTAACTTGTCTCCCCTTATGAGAATCCAGCAGGGTTGGATTTGATTTCATTACCTGCCTATGCAGTGTTGTGTGATCCCATTTAGGCCAGCTGGTAAGTACTGCCATTATGCTTGTGAATGCACTGGAAAGCCAGTGAGAGTCTTAAACCTTGTGTAGGTGAAAGTTCTGCTAAATTAATTGAAGTGTTGCTTTGTGTTGATTTCATTCTCTGCCACTGTTTTTATAGTTTTGACATGTGTCCGAACAACTGCTCAGGCCGAGGAGAATGTAAGAGCAGTAATAGCAGCAACACTGTCCAGTGTGAGTGTTCGGAAAACTGGAAAGGGGAAGCATGCGACATTCCTCACTGTGTCCATGACTGTGGTTTTCCTGATCGAGGCGTTTGCAATTCGAGTGATGTCAGAGGATGCTCCTGCTTCCCCGAGTGGCAGGGTAGGAGCTTCTTTTATCTTTGTTTTTCTTCAATTTACAGCATCTTCCTAGTTCAGTAAATTGTACATTGACTTCATTCCTTGCATATGTACCACTTATGTTAATCAGATATCAGGTAGCATTGAAGTTTTTGCGTCTCCTTGTTCAGATTCTTAAAAATCTTTCCATTTCATAGATGTGTGGTTGTGGTCTCTTTAGAATTGTGGAGGGGTTTCATATTCTTTGCAATTCATTCATGAAAATTGGAGGACTTGGTCTCAGCCTCAAGAAAACATAGCAGAGAACCAAGCCTAGGAGGCGGGACGAGAACTAACAATGATAGTATCTCTCAGAAACTTTCAATAAATTCGGAAAAAATTGGGGTCGATTATACAATAGAATCCTAAAACAGCGAGTGGAATTATCTGCAGATAGAGAGGTTATCAGAGAAACTTTAGCAAATTCTTTAAGGGTTGTGTGATAATACCTGTTACTGATTTAGTAATTTTCTTTATACATTTACCCTTTTCTTCAGAGTACTTTTATTTTGAAAGGAAATGTGCTTGTTTAAATGCTTTCATTTGTGTGCTTTGGCTGATGTCAACGAGTTAAGTAATTGAAGTGTTTGAGGACCTACCTCTGGGCACAGGTTGCAGCAGAGCCACACCCCCCAAGAATGGAGTTTCTTGATTTTCCAGGAATGGGGTGGGTTGTATTATTACTCCCAGGGCTAGTCCTTACATTTTAACCCTAAAGTTTTTCATTTGAATTAATAATTTCTTTGTCTACTCTTTCCTCTGAGAGCTGCTTAAGCAAGTATTTCATTACTAAAAAATCCTAACCTGGATATGGTCACGTCATCATGAGAAAGTATGTGATTTTGAATTTTACTGGAGATGACCCTTGGTCACCAGCTTTGAGTGAACTGAAAGCATGAATTAAAGGGTTTTGTCTGATATTTAGATGCTAAAGGAAAGACTCTTCTTTAGATATTTGTTACATTTATATGATTAAAACTTGAAGTGCAGTAATTTTAAAGCTGCATTTTGTGAAGCTAATTTATTCTGTTTTATTAGGTCCTGGATGTTCAATTCCTGTACCAGCTAACCAGTCGTTTTGGACTCGAGAGGAATATTCAAACCTAAAGCTCCCCAGAGCCTCTCACAAAGCTGTGGTCAATGGGAATATAATGTGGGTTGTTGGAGGATATATGTTCAACCACTCAGATTACAACATGGTTCTAGCGTAAGTTGTTTTAAACATTTTTGCAAGAAGCTTACTAGTTTTCCATTTTGAAAATTTATGAAGTAGAGATAAGTGAAAAGAAATCATCAGTAATTCTATTACCTGAGGAAGATCCCTGTTAATATTTTAGTAGTAGTGTTCCAGAATTTTTGGGACATATTCTTAGTTTTTGAAGTTGGGAGCCACAAAGAATGCATTGTTATAATAAGCAAGAATTCATCTTTTCTAGATACCATCTCTTATATTTTGCTTTAGACTGTATATAAATTGGGGGTTACCTTACCTGTAAATTTAATTAGCATTTCTGTAGATCAGATGGTTTGAATTTATAGCTTGCTAGAGGAAATTATGCCATTGTCTAATACTTGACCCAGAGTTCAAGGTCTGTCTGCTGGTCCTATGTTACTTATCTTAAAGGGAGACTATATGGTATCACAGTGGAATCATGAATTTACTTACGAAGATTGATTTTAGGAGAAATTTATGAACACACACTCATGCTGATTTTGTGCCCTGGAAATTTTTTCTAGGCATTTTTTATTAATGAAGATTGTCAAAAACCAGCATCTGTTCTTTAAGGGATTCAGAAACTATGGCAGCAATGGCATAGTTTCTGAATCCCTCAGATAGTCATTAAAGCACATAGACAACTAGGATAGCAAAATGAAAAAGCACATGGGTAACGAAACAAAACTTGGTCGGAAGGTGTCTACACAGATGGGTGGTGCTAACAATTGACAGATGGAAAACCTGTGTGGTGTTGGCATCTGAGCAGGAGTAAGCAAAGTGGAGTAAGTGGTCAGCTGACAGGCTCCAGCATACCTAGAAGAAGCTGCTTTGAGAACGGCAGCCAGAATTGGAAAGATTTGTGTATTCTGGTAGGGGGTAAGCACAAGGTATCTGTAGCAAGATCTGAAGCGGCTAGAGCAGTTTGTGCCTTTTTAGCTCTCAAAATGAACTAGCCAGTCTCTTCACAAGAGAAAGTTCCACACTAGGGAGAAACTGCTGGGAATAGAATTCAGATTGAAGAGGATAGGGACCTTAGAGGAAAAGTTAAAAGAGTGTCCAGATAACAGTCAGGGAGGGGAACAGAGCCAGATATCTCAACAAGTAAGCTGCTGTGTTTTGAACACCACACTGTTGACAACAGAAGAGTGAGCTAGAGAGCTGAGAAATTAGGAAGATGGTCCTAACCCAGGCCTCTCCTGTACAAGTTCAGGAAAAAGTAGTTTTATGTAAAACTGAGCAACAGAAAAGCATCAAGTTTTAATAACATAGAAAATTAAAAGTTAAAGTAACATAGAAAGAAGAAAGAGACCACCTGGTAGAATAACCCCCCTTTGTACGTGAAAGCATAATAGAAAAATATACTCACAAAACTGATGAAAGTGAGAACTTACTATTCCCAAACAAGCTAAAATACAGGAAGAAAATGATGCAAGACATGAAAGAACAATAGAATCAGAGGTAGAAAAATCCAGAAATGAGATGGTAGAAGTTAGGAAAGAATTTTAAAATAATTTCAGAATTGAAGACAAACCAGGAGGAACACAAAGTAAATAAGATACTCCTTTATTTTTTTTAAAGATTTATTTCTTTATTCTAGAGAGAGAGTGCGGGCGCACACAAACACAGGAGCAGGGGTGCAGGGGGAGAGGGAGAGAAGCAGACTCCTCACTGAGTGCGGAGCCTGATGTGGGGCTCAGTCTCACGACCGCAAGATCATGACCTGAGCTGAAATCAAGAGTCACATACTTAACTGACTAAGCTACCCAGGTGCCCCAATTCTCCTTTAGTAATAGAATATGAAAAAGGAAATTATTAAAAATCACAAAGAAATGAAGGTCACTTTTCCCCTATTCTTTATGGTAAGTACAGTTAAAAATCCTGGACATTATATATAATGCAAACATGAGAAAACTCTTAAAAGATAGAGAGAAGGCAGTCTGGCTAGGGACCTCGGGACTTAAGGAATGAGGTAATGGTAAATTCCAGGGGTCTTCTTTTGTCTCATATATCTCAGATTTGTTGTTGGAAAAAGCAACAATCTGGAAATGCCAATAGGCACAAGCCGAAAAAGCCCCATGAATAAGCCCACCTATTCTCTCTAGCCTAAGGACTAGGAGAGGGGCAGCTTAGCAAGACAGAAAACTTTTAGACGCAAATAACTGCTTTACTACAGCCAAACACTACAGAAAGAACTGGCCCCACCCTCACTCCTGTCAGCAAAGTCTGAGTGTAGAGTCTAGATTTTTACTCTTGCCAGGATCTAGTGAGGTGCTCCAACCATCCCCCAACTGCCAGTGTTAGAAAAGACCAATTAGGGAGCTGGGACTTTCTCAGCAGTCTGGTTTTTGTGTAACCTAGTTAATATTTAGCCTTTTGGTTTTTGTTTTTGCATGATATTTGCTGGGACTTTCTCCTCCACCAGGCAGGAATGAGGTTTCCCCCACCCTTGTGATGTCAGTGGAGACCCTGTGGGGAGCCTGGATTCTACCCCACCCGGGAGTAACAGCAGTAATGAGTTGGCCTTCCCTCTTCCCTACTGGGGTGTCAGAGGAGGCCTGCTATAACAGTAGATTTAAATAAGATCCAGAGTCTCATGCCATGAAACCCAAAATGTTCAGATTTCAATTGAAAATCATTTCTCATGTGAAGAGCCAGGAAAATCTTAACTTGAATGAAAAAAGGCAGTTGAGATGCTGACAGCAGGATGACATAGATATTAGAATTATCTGACAAGATTTTAAAGCAGCCATTATAAAAATGCCTTAGTGTGCAATTATAGACACACTTGAAACAAATGAATAATGGAGCCTCATCAAAGAAATAGAAGATAGAAGGAAGAATCAAATGGAAATTTTAGAACTGAAAAATACAGTAACCAAAACAAAAATCTCAGTGGACAGGGTCAACAGCAGAATGGAGAGGACAGAGGAAAAAGTCAGTGAACTTGAAGATAGAACAATAGAAATCCCTCAATCTGAACCAGTGAGAAAATGGAATATTTTAAAAAATGAATAGGACCTAAGAGACCTGTGGACCATAACAAAAAAAATCTTAACATTTCTGTCACTGGAGGAGTCCTAGAAAGAGAGGAGCCGAGAGAGTGTCTGAAAAAGTATTTGAAGAAATAATGGCTGAGAATTGCCCAAATTTGGCAGAAGACATGCATGTACATGCAAGAAGTTGGGTGACCTCCAGCAATCCTTGGCTCCCACAGGGGTTCACAATCCATTGGTTTTGTCTCAGTCTTGCTCTCATTCTCCTGCTCAGCCGCCATATTTCTTTTTAGTTTTCAAATTTCTACCACATTTTCTCCTGTTTTCATTCTTAGCTATTGGCCTTGCTTCCTGTTTCTATTTTGAAAGGTAACGGTTATCCAAAGAGGATTTCCACAAACTCCCACCGCCATATTTAGCTATTACCTACATCTATGCTCATTTATCCCGTCTTCTGTTTCTGTACATCATCACTGTCCAGTGGGGCACTGTCATGTCACTAGCCATGTATGGTCATTGAGCTTGAAATGTGGCTAATGTGACCAAGGAGCTGAACTTCAGATTTTCAATTCTTGGTCCTCATCTTACTTGATTTTTCACCAACATTTGATATAACTAGTCCCTCCCTCCTTTTTTTTTTTTTTTAAAGATTTATTCATTCATTTGAGAGAGCGCGTGCATGCTTGAGTGCACACACAAGTTGAGGGGGCAGGGAGAGGGAGAGAATCCCCAAGCAGACTTCTTGCCGAACACAGAGCTTCAGGCGGGGCTTGATCCCAGGAACCTGAGATCATGTCCTGAGCTGAAATCAAGAGTTGGAAGCTCAACAGACTGAGCCACCCAGGTGCCTGCCTGCCTCCACTTTTAAACACTTTCTTTAGTTGGCTCCCAGGATTCTATATTCTCTTGGTATTTGTTCCAACTACTTATTCTTTCTCAGCCTCTTTGGCTGGTTCCTCTTCAACTGACTGACTTCTGAATGATGATGTACTCCAGGGCTCAGCTCTTGGTCCTCTTCTGTGAGAGTATATATTCACACTCCTGGTGATCTCATGTAATATCTTGGTCTTTATGTTGATGACCCCCAGATTTATGTCTGCATCCTAGACTTCACCTGAACCCATATCGCCACCTCTTTATTTTACATCTCAATCTTTTGGCTGTCTAAGAGGTATCTTAAACTGTATGTGTCCAAAACTGATCTTTCCTCCAGGCCAGTTCTTGCCCCAGATGTCCCTATCTCAGTTAATGACTATTTCATACTTCTTTTTGCTTAATCCCAACATTTTGGAGCCATCCTTGACTTCCTGTTTTTTCACTGCCCATTTCATTGTGTAAATTAGCTATCCCTTGCTGCATAACAAATGACCACAAACGTAGCAGCTTCAAACAGAACATATTTATTACCTCATAGTTTCTGCTGGTCAGGAGTCTGGGCATATCTTAACTGGGTGCTCTTCAGTCAGGGTGTCACCTGGCCTGTGTTCTCATCTAGAGGTTCAACTGGAGAAGAGTCCACTTCCAAGCTCACTAGAGTTGTTGACAAAATCCATTTCCTTGTGGTTGTAGGACTGAGGGCCTCAGCTTCTTGCTGGCTGTCCAAGTGGAGGCTGCCCTCAACTTCTGGAGGCCGCCCACAGTTCCTTATCACTTTGACTTCCCTAGTGTGGCTGCTTGCTTCATTAGATCGCAAGGAGAGTCTCTCTTTAGATTGGTCTCCTGGCAGGACAGATGTCGTGGAAATGACATCTCATCATCTTTGCCATGTTCTGTTGGTTAGTAGCAAGTCATAGATCCTGCTCACACTTAGGAGGGTATTATACATGGGTATGAATACCCAGAAAGGGAGATCATGAAGACCACCACCCCAGTGGCTGTCTGCTACAGTATGTCAGCAGGTCTTGTTAGCTCTACCTTTAAAATCTACCCCCACTGTAACCACTTTTCACTACTTCTCGTGCCACCACCCTGAGAAATAAGGTAAAATTAAAGGTGTGA